GCCCCTCCAAGCTCCCTAAGCAAAGAGCCAGGCGTCCGGGACCGCAACCCTACCCCTAATTATACCCCTTATCTATAACCCTACCCCTAACCCCTGACCCTATGGGCTCTTCTACAACCTCCCCAAAGGACCCCGGCAGCCGGGCTCCCAGCATGCCCTGCTCCCCCCCCGTCCCCCCAGAACCCAGGTGTTGGGGCTCCTGGCAGCTGCCAGCCCTGCCTGCTACTTCCCGGCTGGGGGAAGTATATATATATGGGGGAAACCCGACCCCATCAGCCTGGGAAAGCAGCTGGGGGGAAGGGACGCCTGTGGGGACCCAGGCATCTGGGACAGCCCGCAGCCCCCACTCCCTGCCCAGACGACCCAGGCGTCCGGGCTCCTAAACCCCCTGCTCCCACCCTCAACCACCCCAGAGAGCCCAGGCATCCAGGTCACAGGTCTCATGGGAGGGGGGGCAGTTTTGAAGGGGAGGCGAGGGGGCTTGGGAACCCAGGGGTCACAGCCCTAAAGGGGTCAGGGAGGAGACCCCAGGTGTCCGGGCCTGCCCCCACTGGCAGGGGGGGGGGCTCCCCCAGGACAAGGGACCCAGGCGTCCGGGAGAGCCCCGCTGCCAGGCGCCCTCCCCCCGCCCCACTGCCTCTCCGCAACCTGGCCAGATGCCTGGGTTCCCTGGGACCGGTGCCAGGGCTATATAGGGGCTGAAGCAGCCGCCACCTCTCAGTCTCCAGCTCCAGCACCCTCCAGCCGCCCCCAAAGACTGCCGGTGAGTACCCACGGCTCCCCGGGCCATATAGACCCTGTAGGGACCAGTGGGGGAGCATGGGGTGCCCCTGGGACTATATACAGCCCATAGGGACTGGTACAAGGGGGTATGGGGTGCCCCTGGGCCATATAGAGTTTATAGGGACTGGTATGGGGGGGTATGGGGTGTTCCTGTGGCCATATACAGCCTACAGGAACCAGTATGGGGGGGTCTGGGGTGTCCCCGGAGCCATATACAGCCTATAGAGATGGGTCTGGAGTGTCCCCGAGGCCATTTACAGCCTATAGGGATCCATGAGGGAGTGTAGGGTACCTCTTTGTCTATAAGGACTGGTGTAGTGGGGCATGGAGGAGATAAGGGACGCCCTACAGTCTATAGGGACCAGTGTGAGAGTATGGGCTAGCTCAAGGGGACCCCAGGGTGATATAGCCTGTAAGGACCAGTGGAGTGGGGCATGGGGTATCTGTATACCTGTAGGGACTGGTGTCTGGAGGACATAAAGGGGACCCTACAGTCTATAGGGACCAGAGTGGGGGGATGGGGTACATCAAGAGGACCTCTATAGGGACCACTGGGGGAGGGCTTGGGGTGCAGTGTCCTTATGCCTATAGGGACTGGTGCAGGGGGGAATGGGGAGATGAAGGGGATTTGGGGGCTATATACAGCCTATAGGGACCAGTGGGGGGGGTATGGGGTAGCTCAAGGGGATCCCAGGGACATATACAGCCTATAGGGACGGACTGGGGGAGCAGAGGGTAGCCCTATAGAGACCAGCATGGGGGGCATGGGGCAGGCCCATTGCAGCTGGCCAGGGGCCAGGCCCTGCAGTGCTGGGGGCAGGGCCAGGAGCTATTGGCATGGCACCGGCGCTCATGAATAATCACAAGTCACTGCCCAGCTGCCCCTCCCCCACGTGTCCATCCCTCTGTCCAGTCCATCCCTCTGGCTGCATCGGGAGTCATTGCCCGCCCCTCCACCCCTCTGTCCATCCCTCCATCCGTCTATCTGTCCATCCATAATGACGAGTCATTGTCTATCTACCCATCCATCCAAGCAACCAACCCAACCTCCATCCCTCCCTCCGTCCCCCAGCCATCCATCCCTCCACAGATGAGGACGAGTCATTGTCCACCCATCCCTCCCTCCATCCCTAATAATGAAGTATTGTCCATCCATCCGTCCATCCCAACCCAACCTCCATCCATCCAACCTTCCCTCCATGGATGTCTCCATCCATCTGTCCATTTGTAGTCATCCCTCTAGCCATCTGACCATCCATCCATCCATCCATCCATCCATCTATGGTCTTCTCCATCCATCCCTCCACCCCATATAGCTGATTGATTCATCGTTCAATCCATCTACCTATTTATCCACATCTACTCTATCCCTCCCTCCCTCCCTCCCTCCCTCCATCTATCCAGCCATCATTCCAGGCATCCATCCATCCATCCATCCATCCAATGAATGCATCCGTCCCTCCATCCCACCAACTCATCCTCCATCTCTCTGTCCACACACCCTCTCCACCCATGCCGACTCCCCCATCCATCCATCCATCCCCAGGAACGTGTCGCTATTAATTGCGAGCTATTAACCATGACCTCATCAATGGTGCTAATGGCCCCATTGGATGAAGGGAGGCCGGGAGTGGGGATGGTCCGTCCATCTGTCCCTCATGACCTTCTGTGGTCTGAGGGGTCCCTTGGTCCTGTCTGCTCTTGGGGGGGAGGGCGGGTCTTGGGGTCCTCCCACCACTAACAAACCCTAATGAATGCCCTCATTAGAGAGGGGGAAACTGAGGCGCAGGAGATGCCACCCCTGAGCAGTGGGGTTACAACCCTGCCCTTCCCCTGGGTCCCAGCCTGGTGCCTTGCCCCAAACGCCTGGGTTCTCTGGGATGGGGGGTGGGAGCAGGGGTTTGGGAGCCTGGCCGCCTGGGTTACCTGGTGGGGTGGGAGCAGGGGGTTTGGGAGCCCGGATGCCTGGTTCTCTGGGCTGGGGGGTGGGAGCAGCGAGTTTAGGAGCCCGGATGCCTGAGTTCCCTGGGGGGTGGGGCATGTGGAGGCCTGTGGCTCCTGTTTCGTGCCTATTTATAGCCAGGTCAGCCAGGCCTGGGGACATGCCGGGCAGCGTTGGCATTCCCGGCCATATGTCATATGTCACGGCTGCACATGTGACATGGACCGTGGGGATGGGGGGGGGGGGGGGGGGGGAGCTGCTGGGAAAGGGGACCCCAATTCAGGCCCGATCTGGGTTGTCCCCATGCCCTGTTCCTGTCAGCTGCTCCACCCCAGAGCTGGCTGCATCTCGGGCTCCAGAGAACCCAGGCGTCCAGGCTCCCAGGCTCCCCTGCATGGGGAATGGTGAGAGTTGGGGTGGGGGGTGCTGGGCGCCTGGGTCCCCTGGTGATGAGGGGAGCAGAGGGGCAACAAGCCGCTCAGCCCCCGCCTCTCCCGCCCCCCCAGCCATGTCGAACTCCAAGCAGCGCCTGCTCCGGGGGATGCAGGAGGACCTCACCTGCCCCCTCTGCCGCCGCCTCTTCTCCTCCCCGGTCACGGCCGAATGTGGCCACAGCTTCTGCCGGGCCTGCCTGGCTGCGGCCCCCCGTGGGGACGACCCTGGGGACCTGGCCTGCCCCACCTGCGGGGTCCCGACCCGGCCCGACCAGTTGGGCCTCAACCAGCCCCTGGAGCACCTGGTCGAGTGCTTCCGCCAGGTGCCCCATGACCACTGCGAGGAGCACATGGACCCCCTCAGCGTCTACTGCGAGCAGGACCGCCAGGTTATCTGCGGCCTCTGTGCCTCCCTGGGCCGCCACCAGGGCCACCGCGTGCTCACGGCGGCCGAGGCCCACGACCGGATGAAGGTACGACCCTCCCGCGAGCATTGGGGTGTGTTATGTGTATTTGTTCCACCCCGGAGCTGGTCGCATCGCAGAGCTGGAGAATCCCCTGAGTTGGCTTCAGGGGTGGGGATGGGGCTGGGGCCTGAGAACAAGCCCCTCAGGTCCCTTTATCCCAGTATTGGACCCCTGGGTTGTTCTATGTGGCCATTTCTCAGTTGTTCCACCCCAGAGCTGGTCGCATCTTGGAGCCAGAAAATCCCCCAAGTCAGCTCAGGAGGTTGGGAGGGGGCTAGGGTCTGCAGAACAGGCCTCTCTGTCCTGGCGTTAGGCTTGTCTGTTGTTGTTCTAAGTGGCTGTTTCCAAACTGTTCCACCTCAGAGCTGGTCGCATCTCAGGGCAGGAGAATCCCCCTTGTGTCAGGTGTGGGTGGGGGGATGGCGGGATAGGAGCCTGGCCCCTTTCCCTGGGCCCCGCCCCGCCATGGGCCCGTCTCAGGGTAGTGAGTCGTGCCCCTGTTCAATGCAGCTGTTCCCAGCTGCTCCGACCCAGAGCTGGTCGCATCGTGGGTGCCTGCCCAGGGGAGTGGGGGGCTTTTCCCCAATTCGGGCATGATTTGGGTTCCCAGGGAGGGAGGGCAGGGGGCTATGTGCCCCAACTCACTGTTGCCGCCCTCCCCACCCCCCGGGGCAGAAAGAGCTGCCCCAGCAACAGGCGGTGCTGCAGGAGGCCCAGGCAAGCAAGGAGAAGGCCATCGCCCAACTGGACCGGCAGCTGGCCGAAGTGAAGGTGAGTGTGAGAGCGTGTGTGTGCTCCAGACACCTGGGTTTTGTGCACATTTGTGTGTGTGTGTATGTGTGTGTCCTGGACACCTGGGGGGGTAGTGGTCTGGACACTTGTGGGGTGCATGTGTGTGTCCGTGCCGGACACCTGGGTTTTGTGTTGTGTGGGGTGTGGGGCTGTAAGTGTTGTGCGTGTCGGAGGTCATGGGAGCCTTTGGGGTTGTGGGGGCCCTGGGATGGTCCTGGGACTCAGGTCAGCAGGATTTGGGAGCTGTCGGGGGGATTCATGGGGAGTGCAGGGGAGCTGTGGGGCTATGGCGGGTCATGTGGGGGCATTTGGGGGCTATGGGGGGTATCTCGGGCTGTGGGAGGATTTTGGGGGTGTCCTGGGGCTGTCAGGCCATGGAGGGTTCATGTGGGAGGCTGGGGGGCATTTGGGGTTCTGCAGGGGAAATTGGGGGTTGCAGGGGATCTTTTATATGGGGGGGTCACA